CAGAAGAACGAGAACGCTCGCCAGCAGATGGAGCGCCAGAACAAGGAGCTCAAGCTCAAGCTCCAGGAGATGGAGAGTGCAGTGAAGTCCAAGTTCAAGGCTACCATCACAGCCTTGGAGGCAAAGATAGCGCAGCTGGAGGAGCAGTTGGACATGGAGACAAAGTACGTCTGTCAAACTCTTGTTGTATTGCAAGCCTCTACCCACTCTGTGATGTTAAATGCTGAACAGTTTCTGATTCATATAATTTAGAGCTTCATCCTAGGTACCGGGGAGTATAGAGAAGTAAAATCTTCACAAACCTTCCTCATTTTCATAGTACAGGTTGCTAACTTCTTCCAAACGTCACCATTTGGAAAGATGCAGTTGTGATGCAGTGTTGCTGTCCCTCAGTAGCTTCAAGAAGAGTCACACTCTGTATGACTTCTTGGATCTTTCTGAAAAATCTTTTCTCCCATCCCCTTTGCTTCAAGTTATTATGACTAGTGGCATCTTCTTAGTTTCTAACTTGCCTGTTTCAGGTCTTATTAGTGGGGACAACAGGGGATAATCTCATGTCTTAGCCATGGCTCTATTTCTGTGTAGGGAGCGCCAGGCTGTCAGCAAGCAGGTGCGCCGTGCCGAGAAGAAGCTGAAAGACATATTGCTGCAGGTGGATGATGAGAGGCGTAATGCTGAGCAATACAAAGATCAGGTGTGTACAGTTACCCACAGAGTGCTCTGGTGGGAGGATTTCCTTTCTGCAAACAAAGTATCATTTGCATTGAGAAGGCTCTAGAATTAAGCTTCCTATGCACTTCTCTCCTGTCTCGCTCACGGTGATAACTGCAAGGTGATACAGATGAGAATGCTTTTAAGGAAGAGCCTGAAGCTGCCTACTCGTAGGCAGTGCCTTCAGGCAGGGCAGGCGCAGGGTTGTTGGGGAGCTGGTCTTGCTGCTGCAGCAGGGCTGTAGCGCCAGAGATGCCGACCTCCTTTCCCTCTGCACTCAGGCGGACAAGGCCAACATGCGCTTGAAGCAGCTGAAACGGCAGCTGGAGGAGGCTGAAGAAGAGCCCCAGCGAGCCAATGCGTCCCGTAGGAAGCTCCAGCGGGAGCTGGAGGATGCCACTGAGACAGCTGATGCCATGAACAGAGAAGTCAGCTCCCTCAAGAGCAAACTCAGGTAAGGCTGAATCCTCTGTGTGACACCATGGCAGCCAGGCCAGCACGGTGTGGCTGCAACTGTGCACAGGCTTTGCTCACAGCAAGGAGTGTGAGCAAGCACTTCCTTTCTGTCTGGTGGAGAGTGAAGTCGTAGGTTACTGACACACTGTTCTTCCTTTCCCAGGCGTGGGGACCTGCCATTTGTCGTGACACGTCGGATTGGCAGGAAGGGTGCAGGAGAGTGCTCCGATGAGGAAGTGGATGGCAAGACAGATGCTGGTGATGCCAAAGCTACTGAATAAGTCCTCTCATTTGACCCAGGTTACATGCGATGGAGTGACCCATCCACCTTCCCCTTTTTTGTTGGACTTTCTGCAAACCCTCTCCTAAGTTGGCTGGGAATCTGCACAGCAAACCCAGCTCTGTGTGTCTAGAGCCATTGGGCATCTGTGTTCCTAGCTTACTCCTCTTTCCAGTTTCCTAATCCTCTTTGTATTTAATGCCAAAGAGTCGGGGCTCTGAAATCTACCAGCAGAGTTTGGCAACTACGAGGGCTTGTAGAACTGTCTGTGCCATATCTGCT